GCTTCCTCGACGTCATTAGAACAGCAGAATTGTAGGACCAATTTTTGTTTCTACTGGTATCTACGTAATTTTCAGCTACGATAAGACCCAACAAGTACTTCACTCAGCATAATGCGTAAGCCTTAGTTATACCTCATATTTGATTTTCCATCAAGAGCTAATTGTTTTCGAAAAAATAACCTTTCTTGTCCTTGCATATCGACTATATCTCCCTCTGATTTACAGACAACATACCTTATTCAACTCCTCGCAGTACGAGGTGTGTGAGATCTTTTCCAAATCTCTATTACAACAGAACAATATGCATTGGTTTTTTCCTTGAAAATATGGTTTATTTAAGACTTTACAAAGTTACAACCAAAACGATGCTGGGATGTTTACAAAACTCCCGGCGCAGATGTTCGCGGTGGGGAAGGAATGAACGCGCTATTACCCATTCCGGGGGCTAACGCGTTCACCACCACCATGCAGGTCATTCGTTTCGAACGTCTTCCAGCCAGTTCTATCGATTAGTGCCACCAACAATCATCACTTTATACACTTATCTACAACTTTCTTACTACTTCCTTTGATCGATTTCCTTGTTACTTCGCCGCATTTATCGTTGTCTGTGTGAAGTACTTTTTTGATCTTTGACGTTACTATGAGATTGTTCGTTAATGATCTGGATTCCGTTAGCGAACAGCTCATCCTCAGTGATTGTGTTTAGCTCGCGACGACTTAATTGTAAAGACAAAATCGAAGCATGGTTGTCTTGTGCTCATCAGTGCTAGTGCATGGCTCTTGGAAACCAAATTCACATTTTTGTTCTTGAATACTGGAATATTTTCTCTTTACAAAGAATTGTGGTGGCCACGCCCTGATTGCTCTTTGACTGGTAATGTGACATGTAAAATCCCTCGTAGAGTTCGCCGATAGTATAATAGAGTTAAATAATTCATTTCCCGAGCATGGGACTTCTTTAGGACTTTTTGGATATTTGGATACTTGATTGGCCCATCTTCTCTGGTTGTGCCAGCCCAGCATTATTTCCATTTTACAGAGATTTGCTGGCTTAACCCTGTGGTTCCCTAGAGTCCCGAAGTCAGCCAGGCTAAAGTCTGCCTCAGGTGGTCACCACCACAGGCAGCCGCCTCCCTTGTAGATCAGACGGAGATTTGCTACTATGTAACTAGTTTGGTACTAAGACGTGGGTGGATCCTGGCATCGGTTTACTCCTGGCTGGGCTTCCTAATAGAAACACCGGACACTACTTCCCAGCTTGGGAGCTTTGCCGGAGGCAGAATCCTCCGCTGTACATCACAGCCCGACACCTAGGAACACCTGGCAGCGACGATGAAGCGGTAACCCGTTGGGAGACTTTAAGACTTCACGAACTTATATATAAATTTCTTATTACTTTGCATATGGTCGCTAATGGACAGTGCATGGGCTAGATTTCCCTGCCATGATGTCTGAAAATTAGGCTTACTAAAGCCTTTCTAAGTCATCAGCACACCAATCCGTGCCTAACATTTCTCTTTTGACATTCCAGCAATGCTGTTAACTTCTTTAAAAAGATCGGCAAACTTTCACAACTCACTGAATGGATTGTAATTGCAGTTCATTATCACTGTCATTCATTAGTGGTGTTAATGGATATTTATAGAAGGACAGTTGGATATGAGATGATCTCTAACACTATATTCTTCATCTCTGCATGTCACACTCCCGTTTACTCTTCACCCTTCATTAGTCGTTGTTCTTACGTCGGCTTCGATTCTAACCGGAAAACTCGAAATTGAGGTGTACTTACAAAAATCTCTCCGATTAACTTTCTACTAACTTATCGACATTTTTCTAGACCTCTACATTTTGCAGTGCATAGAATCGTTTATCAGCGAATAATTGGTCGTTCTGATGGAGCTTTTCTGCGAAAGTACGCAGCTGCTGAGATCATGCCGGCCTCGTCACCGGCAACTAAAATTCGCACCAAGTTCCCTGAGAGTTGGATTGTGGCCTCGTTTAACAGTGGGTGAGCTGCTTGGCGAATTACCGTATAAATCATGTTTGTGGCTGAGGCAAAGAAAAACTTCTGTCTGGACTAAAAATCACTATGCTTAAGAATTTGCATCGCCATATGTTCGCACAGAATCAGAATTCAAGATCGAGTAACAACATAATTATTTTATCAAACACTTGATGTAGCTTATAAATTTTTGGGTTTCTTCTTCATTTCTGGCTTCGCTTGAAACGCATAGGATCTTGCTACAGCCATTAACTTCAGCTGCAGCGCTTTTATAGAAATAGATACTTCTGCAGTTGCCAAAGATATATTGGTTTTCGGCATCTAAGAAACTTCTTTTAAAGTTCATAGGTTTGAGAGGTATTAATCAGTTATGAAATATTGGGCAAACCCTTGCCCTACCATCACCTTTTGCACCAATTTTTAGTTGCTTAATCAAAAGTTTGGTCCGTAGAAACATTCGCGTCAATAAAAAGTGAACTTTGTTGTGGCATGATTTTTCTTTTATTGGCGGCTTAGGTAAGCCACCGATTTTTACTTAAACTGTAACTGTGTACAAGTAGCCGTAACTGTTCTAGCCATACTTAGTTGTAACTGCACATCTGCTTTTAGGGACTAACATGCTGTTTTCGGTCATATCTGCTTTACTTCCACAGCTTATTCTAGATGAGATTCGTACCCTTCGCTAGTAGCACTCTTTTAGTGATGTTAGATGACTCTGTAGTTATTGCTGAGTCTATTGATGTCGAAGCTGGTAATTTTGTTCACGACGATGCACTTTCATCGACAACAACGCCAAAAATCCGATCTAGATTCCCCGAGTCATGGATACTCGTCAATTTGGACACGCGGTAAGTGTGGTCCAAAGTATTTGTAGAGAATTGGAGTGGCATCACTGTACTCAGATGCCATTTTGGAGCCGTGGTAAGCGGATAATTCATTAGCTTTTTTAATTTATACGATCTATTTTCACATTTGCTTTGTGGCTACGCCACGTTTTGCGTTTTATTCGTTTCCTCGCATCCGTCATCCACGAAGCTCTTCCAACTTTTACTGTGTATGTTCGGTTGCTACTTGAGATTTCCGTTCGTCATGAATGTCGTTGATTGCTAGTTTAGTCGATTCTTCCTGGAGTACTGAGAGTGCAGGGCTAGAGCGTTACCACTTGAAGATCAGTGAGTAAAGATTTTCATACAAGCTTGTTATCAATTTCCGAACCTCGGAAATTGGAACCGAAAAGTGGCTTGGTGAGCGCGGAGCAGAGTCGGACTATCACCGTGCTATGATGATGGGGATCATTGCCACTCCGGCTCATATTTAACTAATGATAGAAAAATTACTTAGTTTTTCTTTGACCAATAAATGCAGGAAGTGGAACAAGGCGGTGAAATGAAAGCCGATGACAAGTGGCAAATTGATGGCGGTAATTTTAGAGGAATACGTATATTAATGTTTGTCACGTCTCTGAAAATCTTGCGTCTATTGCCCTACAATTTGAAAGCATGAGCAGTGTCTCCTTAATATGGTGAACTGTTCAAGAAGCAAGGCTGGCACCCATGTGGGCGACCAGTCATTTTTACGTGCAGTCTAGCGGCTGATGCGCGGTGAACCAAGACGGTGTTCACAGGGATTGTTTGGCATAACGGAATACCAACATGACTTCTTTCTTACTTCTGCTGATGACTTTTTCGTAAGGCAAATAATAATAATTGTGACACAACCACAATGGTGCTGAGATATTTGTAAAACTCCGGACCGCAGGTCTCTGCGGTGGGGAACGAACGCGTAATAGCAATTGCATTAATAGAAATGTTAAAAGTTAAAGGATAAAGCTCTCGACGTTGATCAATCTCTAAGGGATGTGCCATGCATTCTACTTCCTTAAGCATCGTTTGGAGATGACTGAATGCATATCTAACCTCTAACAGTGACTCGCGGTGGCCTACCGATGTACTGGAGCTAGTGCTGCTATCTTCCCAGACAAGTCTGGTAGCAATTTGCCGACCTTGGATGGATGGAAGGCTTGGTGGGCTATGGGTGCGGGGATCGATTCTACGTCTGTGTTGTGGGGCGCCTCCGACCACTGCGCCACACGTGCCCCTACTAGTAACGACAACAGTAATAATGATATATTTATTTATATGGTCTTATAAACTGACCTTGTTTAACTGATGCGAGGTTGGTAGGTATAGCTCTTCACTGTCGTTGTCGCTGTTGTTGTTGGTGTCGTTGGTCGATGGCTGACGTTCCGGCGATTTCGCCTTCCTCAATCCGTCCCACTCGTAACATCACGGCTCTGAAGAAGGCGAAATCGCCCAAACGTCAGCCATCGATTAACAACACCAACAACAACGACAACAACAACGAAGACCTATACTTACCTCACATCAGCTAAAGAAAATGAGTTTACAAGATCATATAAATAAATATTTCAACTATCTATGCCGAGGTTTATAGAAAGTCGGTCTTTTGAATAATAATGATAATAATTACCGTTGAAAAATGACAGCTGAATGACGCTGTGGGTTCGTTGCCGTTCTTCGTCGCAAAATGCTTCTAACGTCAAATTAGGAAATGCTGAAAATATTGATTCGTAGGTTAATAACTCGTGGTCAATTCCTTTCAAAGCGCTATTATAGAAATTCTATGAAGCAAAGCAGAGAGCTATGTGGCTCCAAACATCTAAAGGCGCAGTTGTATGACTTCCTTTTTTACTTTATTAAATATGAATATGGAAGTGTGAAGAATGTTGTCTACATTATGTCATCTCTCTCATAGATCTCTTCTCCTTGTCGCTCATCGTTAAGTAATACCTTATGAGAGCTATGTCGAAGTTTCTAATGTGATATGTTTGACTTATCCTGTTAGACAGCAGTCAAATTATTCTTGAATTCTGCTCTACCAGTGGATTTGAGTGTGAAATATAACGCTAGCATGTGAATGCTGTGTGGTGTGTTCAAGCTAGCCTAAGGAGCATTAGATTTTAGACTACCTTTATGCACTTCCATTCAATACGCGTGACGAAAACCAGCCCGAAGTTGCGTCAATGACGCGATCGGTCTCCAGTCCGTTAGCGATTAGGTCGAAGTTTCCAGAGACTTGGTTGTTTGTGTACTTTGAGATTAGGTGAGATACTGATAGCTTTATTTTCACAACATCTGAAAGAACGGTCATGCATACTGTTATTAGAAAAAGTTCTGCGTTATTTTTTTCATATAACATTTTGTTTGTCAGAAATCGATCGTATATCTATAACTCCCGAATAAAATAGTGTCCTAGTGAAGATATTGACTTACAGCGGAATACTATCAAGAGTTTCGCGGTAGTGTTTCGGAAATTCTACTTCCAAATATCCTGAAACAGGAAGCTGATGAATCGCTTTTCTCGACTTTGTGCTGTAGAAAATCGTTTCCTACTGCATGGATTGCTGCAGAAATGAACAAGACGAGGTGGGACTAGAAGGAAATAGAAGCGAATGTTCCACCACGATGGCATTTCTGCAAGAAACGTATCATTTTCTTGTGTCCGTTGTATTCTAGTGGCTAAGTGAAAACGTTTAAGAGAAAAATTTGAGAGGCATTTTCGTTAAACTGGGAAAGAACTGGAGTCCAGGCAGTACGGGTCAGCAGATAAATGCTTGAAGAGGATGCAGAATAAATTCTGATAAGATGATATGTGATGATAGTTTAACGATTTACGTTGCTTCTTTACTACGTCGCAAACCCTTCATCGTATGGAAATTGTCAGGATAGAAGATGAATTAACGAAGAAAGTAGAAACCAATTAGCAAGAAGCCCGTAAATGCTAAATAAACCACCGTTAGTCGCAAAAGGATTTAAGTGTCTTAAAGTGCCTAACCCAATCTTTCGAAGAGCCAGTAGGAAGAGAATTTCCTGTTACATGCTTTTTATTTCCAAGAGTTTAAATGAAAGTACAAAGAGGTTCGAATTTTTCTCAAAAGAAAGCTTTGTTGGCTTTAGTGTTGCTAGGTGATGAGCATATAATTTTATTTTCATTTATTTTCAGTTCAAATGGTGAAGCCGTCTATCAGTCCTTGGCGCCGGATACGATCACCTCATGGGTGGCCAGTGCTTTTGCTATTAACGAGAACTCTGGACTTGGTGTGGCACCATCAACGTCCAAAGTTTGTGCTTCTATAGATTTCGCAGTTCAGGTCTTGAAGTTTTTACCACAACGTAAGAAATCATTAAGTTGCGCGTATTCCGCCCATTCTTCATCCGGTTAAACCTGCCGTACTCAGTGAAAAGAGGAGAGAAGTTCGCTTTACAAGTGCTCGTATTCAATTACATGGAAAAGGAACAAGACGTAAGATTGAATCTCAGTAAAGAATGATTTTAAGCAATGAAGCTTATTATCGTTACAGGTAACGGTTACTTTGAAACACGATGAAGGATCTGGTTTCGACTTCTTGAACAAAGACGGAAGCATTCTAAAGAGGTCGGTGTGCTACCACTACCAACAGTTTTTGAAAGATTTTTGGTATATTTGCAGCAGAACTAGGAAATATACTTCGATTACCAGCGCAGTTTTACATAGCGTAAAACACACCTATCGATTGTTATTCTACCGAAAATCAGCATTTTGTCTTTGTACTGTAATGTTTACACCTCTTCGCGACTGGGATGTGTTTCTGGGTGTCGGAATGCGATGTACAGCGGGGGTTCATCCTCCCGAAAGGGTCTCCCAAGCTGAGAAAGAGTCCGGCGTTTCCATCAGGAGGCCAAGCTAAGAGTAAACTAATACCAAGACCCATCACCGTTCTGGTATCAAACCAGTCGCACGGTGGCAAATCTCTCTCTGATCCACAAGTGCGGCGACTGCCTGTCGAGATGACGACCTAGTATAGATTTTGGCCTGGGTGACGTCGCGACTCCAGCGAACCGCAATGCTAAGCCAACAAAAGTCCGAAAAGTGAAAATGCGCTTAATACTACACGGAAATTACTTTAATGTTTGAAGGAAGAAAGTTTCAGCCGTGATTCTGGTGAGCGCAACTACAACACTCGAGTGGTGTCAGTACTGGGTGGCGGTGTGTCGAAGGCTGTTTACTTCCCCATTGTTCCCACTGAAATCGGCATGGTGAAGCTCACCGTCACTGCGCAGGCAACTCAAGCGGGTGATGGAATCGAGGAGTCACTGAAAGTAGAGGTGAACTGTACCTGTCAGATTAAAATCTTATACGACGAGAACACTAAGAAATAGTGCATGGAGTGTGGTTGGAATGTGCCGGTTGTGATGGAAATCTCACTGTTGACTTGCTTTAGCCGCAAACGCTTATTAAGCTTACATATTTAGCCAGTTCAACAATACAGCATTCATCACTGAGAATGAAAACTTTACACGCGTATAGCAAACTCAACGACAATTGACACCTACATGTTTTTCCTAAGCCTGCGTAATTTTTTTATGCTTACATTCTTTGTTTATGAAGAAGGAAATTTTGACAGAAAGGCTTAAAATTAAACTGATGAGGGTTCGCTGTTTCAATTGGAAGTGTAACACTTTTTTTAAAGGAAAACATTTTCTGTTCCTCTTCTGCCTAGTTCATAACTCATCGTCTTTCAGCCTGAAGGTTACCGTGTGGATCGAAATGCACCGGTTGTGATTGAACTAAAGAACGATTTCGATTTCGAGAAAGTCGTTCCACTGCTCTGGCCAAATGACGTTGTCAAAGGATCACAGAAAGCGCACTTCGAACTAATTGGTAGGTCCATTTTTATTTTTTACGGTACGGACGGTAAATTAACTAAGAATTACTGCTTTTAAATTCACTTCTTTATCAATGAGGTAATGCTCTTCTTAAGGCGATATCATGGGGCCTGTGTTATCAAAAATCAATGAATTGGTACGAATGCCATATGGATGCGGAGAACAAAATATGCTACTCTTCGTGCCAAATATTGTTGTTCTGCGTTATCTGAAAGCAACGAATAGAGCCGAGCCGTCAATTGAGGCCAAGGCTGTGAAGCACATGGAAGCTGGTTATCAACGTGAACTTATATACCGGTGCGCTATATTATGTTACGGTTTCCTTTAGTTGTTACAAGTATCACTGGTGTCATCCGTAGTCTGTTTTAATCACCTTGTAAAACAGTGCGCACCTACGAATCCTTTTTTTTCGTCCTTATTCGTTCTTATCGCCGCCAAAGCTGCCCAACTGAGTCCACGGCTCTACTACTGCGTAGCCTCAGCAGCTAAGCTTTTAGTTGAGAATGTCGAACTACTTGTCGGCTTGGGTGATGTTACTGGGTAGCGACAAACGAAGCTTTCTTTGTTTATCGCAGTCTGGTTCCTAGGATAAAGTTTCGAACTATTGGGGGTGTTGTAGACTTTATATATATATATATATGAGTACAATGACTCAGTCAGTAACACAAGGCAACTTCGCTGCCTGCTGAATGCTAGATTTCGCTTCTAACTGTGAGAAGGAATGGTGGAAGTTCTTAATGTGAAAGTCGCTGGAAATTTGCTGGCGAGAAATATGCGTTCGTCTTAATAATCTGTCTCCATGTCAACCATATATCAATCAGTGCTAGTTTTGTTTGCACCAATGTTCGAATTCAGGCGGCTCGACAACTCGTTCTCAGCTTTCGGTGAATCCGATAAGTTTGGTTCTACATGGTTAACAGCGTTCGTTGTACGATCGTTCGCCCAAGCACGCTCCTATATCTTTGTTGATCCTTCCGTACTTACGAAAAGCATCGCCTTTCTGAATGGACAACAGATGGTAAGCGCAGTTTGTGTTTTCGTCCCTGGTTCTGCTGAAAATTGGTTTCTTTTAATGATTTTAAAGAATGTTCATTAAAGAACAGAAAAAAATAAACAAAGAGAAAAAATAAACAAAGTTCCTTCCACGATTGTGCAGTGTATCTTGTAAATATGGATGTATATCGTTAGAAAACCAAAAGTGTATTAGTCTTTTTTTAACGTCTTTTTTCCTTTTTTTTTAACGTTTGGAAATGTATGGAAATGCAATGCTTCCTAGGAGACTGGTGCTTTTGCCGAACGCGGTGAAGTTCATCACAAAGACATGCAAGGTGGTGCCAGTGAAGGAGGGATTGGATTGACAGCATATGTCGTGGTAGCGCTGCTCGAAAATGGAGTTCGTTCTATTATTCATTTGTTTTTAAGTTAAGCTGCATTAGAATATTTCTGCAAATAAGCGTAGAACACAGTACTGTGATAACATTCACAGTAAAACACAATATACTTGCGAATCTTTAGTTGTACTCTAAGGACGTCCTAAGTATTCAAAATGTTTAACCGTTTCTGTAACTGAGACATGCTTCAAGATCCGTAACGATAACGGAATTGCGTTCCTGGAGAAACATCTCGATGATCTGAAGAATGACTCCTATGCATTAGCGGTGACGGCGTATGCGCTGCGATTGGCAAACAGCGAGAAGAAAGCTGAAGCACTAGAAGCCTTGGAAAAGTTGCAGATTTCCGACAAAGGTAGAATTCAAGTTAGAGAATTAATTATGCTTAACAAACCAATCACATCTGTTTCCCAATGTCCACAGAAATGTTCAATGCACGGCTCTTAGTTGATTTTGCTTAATAGAACCTAGGTATTCGATCTAGGTTGCTGAAAGTCACATTGAAGAAATGGTAGGATTTGTTTAAAAAATAAAATGGTTTCGTTGAAAATCTCATATTTATCATTGCCAAAGGGCGCGTGTGGCGCAGTGGTCGGAGGTGCCCTGCAACACACACGTGGAATCGATCCCCGCGCCCATGGCCCACCAAGCCCTCGATCCCTCCGGCACCAGCAAATTGGTACCAGACTTGTCCGGGAGGATAACAGCACTGGCTCGATACATTGGTAGGCCACCGCGAGTCATTGTAAAGGCCAGATGTTCATTCACTCACCTCCAACGTTGCTTAATGAAGTCGAATGGCGCTTCCCTCGGGAATTGATCAACACCGAGAACTTTAGAACTTTATCATTACCCAGCGAAAATTGAGCTCCTGTTCAGTTTTGTTGCACTTGCGCGGTGCCGATCACACCATGGGCATTTTCAAATTCTTTTAAGAACTACCTTTTAAGTTTTATTTCGACTGAACTTAGCGAACTTAGTTTTTTCAATGAACTTAGCGATCGCAAAACTTTCATCTAGGAAGACAAAGATAGTCGTGTACAAGTGAAGAAATAAAGGAAAAAAAGGCTCTAGTGTCAAGTTTTTTTAGATGGAACAATCCACTGGTCATCAGTGCAAGGTAATGACAAATCAAAGGACACTACTCAGTATTTCTACCAGCCACGACCGGTTGATGTGGAGACAACTGGCTATGTGCTGCTAAGTTACATGCTTGATGGCGATACAGTTCGGGTATGTTATCACTAAGGCAAACGAGAAGCTAGAAAACGAACCCAAGACGAACGAGACCGCATGACAATTAAAATTAGGTGCTTTTATTCTAAAGACCACATTGTCTCTTAGTTCTAACACATTTTTTGGCACATGCAAGTTCGAACAGTAAAGGTAAACAAACCGATGAACAACCCTTTCGATTTTGTTGCCTGCTTATTTTTAGGGTCTGCCGCTTGTTCGCTGGTTGACTGCTCAGCGAAATGCTTACGGTGGATTCTCATCTACTCAGGATACCGTAATAGCTCTACAGGCTCTCGGCAGTTACGCGGAGCACGCCTATTCTCCTGACGCGAACGCTACCGTAACGATCACAAACGGAGCGGACAACCATGTCTTCAACGTATCGCCATCGAATGCTATTGTCCTACAGAGCTATGAGGTTAGGAAATTTTGTGTGCAACATTTTTCTATCACTTTTCAAGCTTTAAATAACTTATAGAATTCAGAATCGCTACTTTAATAAAACAACGTATCTTCCAATTTTAGTTTTCATCCAGACTTTGGTGTTTGTGCTGACCTCATTCGTTTCCACATTTTCTAAAAACTTATCACTACTAAGCACTTGTTCTTCAAGTAAAACTCTTTCGTTTAATATTAGGACCCACACTTTACCACCTTATTGGTTGCATAACGCTGAAAACACCTTATAAATTGAGTTCTTAAAGTATTACTACTTTAAAAATTCATCGTCTTTGTTTTGCCATCGAAAATCTCTGAATTCTCCTGATCCTTACCTATTTTAGTTGCCCAATATCGATTCGAATGTGGTTATTAAGGCGTCGGGTAAGGGAACAGTGTTCGCTCAGGTATGAACTGCTATTCTGCTTGACATTATTTTAAAACATTAAAAATTACTACTGTTCAACTCTTACTGGTATACTGTACGAAGGCGCTTGGAGTCGCTATTTGGTACATTAGGAACAACAGTGAAATGGAGAAATAACACGAACAATTCAGGGCGTTCGTTTAGTAACAAAAGATATTCTTAATGGAAATATGGAAAGAATAAATACTTTTAAGGTATTAAATGGGTTTTCTCTTTCGTCCAGGTTTCCTATTCGTATCATCGAAACGCTCTTCGAGATGACTCGCCATTCTTTTGCTCGAAAGATCTCAAAGAACTACGAGCCGGCAACCGAATGCAGCTTGACTTGTGCTGCAAGTATGGTTTCGTGCCATTTTTGTTGTTATTTTTACTTAAAGAAGCCATTAGACCGCAATAAGACTAATGAATTTTTAAACTGCTTGACTTGTACAAAGACGTTTTAAAGCATAACATACAAAAATATAAAATATTTCAGTTTTTTATTTACTACCTACTACAATTATTACGGCAGGGTGTTAAGAGAAATCAGCCACGATGATGCTGAGATATTCGCAAAGCTTGGACCCGGGCCAGATCGAACCACTTCCCTTTGTTCGTACATTAGACACTGCGCCACGGAAACCCTTGCTCTGCTTTTCTCCCAGCTAGTTTTCTGTCTACTGGTGCCATCAGGAATCACCCGTCAACGGGAGTGATCTGGGGAGCCCACATCGGTATATATAAAATATAAAATAGTTGATAGAAAACATGTGTAGGCTGGAAATTCCCAAAAATTTTGATTATTCATGCGGAGGCTAGGTGAAAGTCGATTTGAAATGTATACTGAATTCGTCGTTTCCTCTCTCAGCAATCGCGAGGTTGTTAAGCAGCATAGGTTTACTTCCATACAATAACACACATAAAATGCAATCATAGCTGACGTTTCGGCAGAATCGCCTTCTTCAGAACCTAGAAGGGCACACTAATACGCAACTTACTGGGTCAAATACTTCAGCAGCACAAACAGAAAGATGGAAATCTGCACGATAATTACAAGATCTATGGCTTCTCGAAAAAACCCACCGCATTTTTTCACCTGTCTTGCACCGAGGAAGAACAGCCGTTCAGAGTCGCACATGGTTGACGACTGCTCTACCCCATCAACGATCCATACGAAAGTAAGAGGCAAGATCAACCGTGATCTCGGGGCATTCCTCCTTGCTATTCATCGTAGGATTTTTGGCATTTATCCAAAAAGCCTCGAGGAGTTTGCGCGTTGGTGTTTCAGGATCCCGTACGAGGATAGTTGCTCTTATGTTAAAATCGTCCCCGCTATGCTTTTGTATCCTATGCGTCCCTAGTGGCATGCCTTGTTTTGCTCTTCGTTTGCCATCTAGGTGTTCTTCTGTGCGGATACATAAAGGTCTGCCCGTTTCGCCATATATTCGTTTCCGCAAGTACTACAAGAGATCAGGTATATCGTACCTGAGCTCATACGCAATTCTGTGTTTCACTTAGACGGTCGTATAGGCGGTTACGAACTAACTGGCGACGAAGAGTATTCGATGGTATTTCAACTATCGCTACCGATTCCTCTAGATCTGCCCGTCTTAAGCATCGCTTCATTGCAGTCGTCAGCCATATGCGACTCTGAGCTGCTGTTCTTCCTCGGTGGAAGACAGGTGAAAAAAACGGTGTTTTTTCGAGAAGCCTAGATCTTGTAATTATCGTTCAGATTTTCATCTTTCTGTTTGTGCTGCTGAAGCGTTTGGCCCAGTAAGTTGCGTATTAGTGTGCCCTTTCAGGCTCTGAAGAAGACGATTCTGCTGAAAAGTCAACTACGGTTGTGTTGCGTGTGTGTTATTGTATGGAAGGAAACGTATGCTGTTTAAGAACCTTGTGACGGTTGAGAGAGAAAGCGACGAAATCATAATCCAATGCCGAGGTTAATAGAAAGTCGACCTTAGGTATCACAACATGTATAGTGAGATTGGTTTCGACAAATGGTATATACGTAAAAGTCGACTTCACAGGCGTTCTAAAAGTTGTCAGATGAGAATTAGACTGTGTTCCTCATTTCTACCGATTTCTTGGAACTCAACATGAATTCCTATTGTACAAGAAAAATGCCTTTTGAATTCATTCAAGCAGTGATTAGGAAACTTCTTAGCCCTCAAGAAAATTTGAAATAGATTAGTTGGTTCGTTTGCGATCTCTCCATAGGATATGTTTACAATGTGGGATCCTCGCTATAATAGATAGATGGTATAGTCCTTGGATTCATTATACTTCGTAGGACTCGGGAAATATACCTCCAGACTTTTTGAAGTAATAACATCCATTTTTTCAAATTTTTGCCTTTGTCGGTTAAGCTGACGGTAAATATTGAAAAATAATAATGCGAAATTTTGTTCATAAATAAATGCAATCCGGATGCCCCCGAAAGGGTTATCGTGGTTCAATCTGGCGCGGGAGCCAAGTTTTGCGAATATCTCAGCATCATTGTTGTTATATAAATGTATTTGTTGGTTGAAATTGCAGTTATACGAGAAGTTCCGGCAAGTCAAATATGGCAGTGGCCGAAGTTGATGCACTCACAGGATTCAAGTGAGTAGTTCTTGTTGTTTTTAGTCCTTAGTTTTGTGCTTTCTTGTCTTTTGTAATCACTTTTTCAAACTGTCGCCATTTAGAGGCTTTTCGTCATTATTGCTCTCTTGACAACTTTGTTTTTCAGGTTTGATGAAGAAGAAATGGGTAAACTAACTAGCATTTCGGATCTTCAACGTGTCGAACTCGATCACGACGATACAAAAATGAATTTATACTTTAACCCGGTAAGTTCACAACACTAGAAAGTTTTAAGTACAATTGGAAAGTTTCTATAGATGCTGCTTAACGTTACCGTTCCACCTCTACCTTTCTAGAAATTGTGCTTTGTCGCTGTGTCAAACGTTAACCTACTTGCCGTTGCACTTATTACATATTTAAAATATGCCTTTGGCGATATGCTTAAAGGTGCACTGCAATACACTTTGACTAGGTAGAGGGTTCGATAGCGCTCCCAGGGCAAATCAAGGCCTCCATCATTGTAGGGTTGGAAAATTGGTGCCAGACTTGTCTGGGAGGGCAAAAAGAGTGAATTCACACGTGAGTAGGCAAAGAAAGTTATTGTATGAGCCACAAATATGCACTAATGACCTCTACGATATTATGAATAGAGTTGAATGCATTGTGCATCTCTAAGGGATTGATCAACGCCGAGCATCCTGTCTTTCTACCCCTTTTAGATTTTAGATAGATTTAGTAAACATTTTGATACAGTGCTAACATAGCCGTTATATTTAGCTGGGTGCTTCGCCGGTCTGTTTATCGTTGTTCTCGGATTTGACGTATTACGTAACTGATCAGAAACCAGCACAAATCGTGCTATTCGACTACTATAATCCCGAAGAACAGGTAGACATTTAATTCAGAGTACGATAACCATGAAGAGAATTTCTCACTTTCAAAAGAAAACGTTTTATATTTGTTGCATCTTTATTAAAAAAGTTCTATAAGACTAATTCACTTCCGTTGTCCAACCTCGGCACAGTTAGAATCCGTGTAAATCGCCTAATTGGGGTTTTTCGGGGTCCAAGAGGCCCGTTTAAAAGGTCTTTTTATGACCTTTTCCTCGTTTTATTGGAAATTGCACTTTCTTTTCCAGTTTTGTTTAAAATTTCATAGCGAGGTTTCCTTGAAGTATGGTGGTCTTTTTCTGAAACGAAAAAAAACGGTTAGATTGTGTTTGTTTTGAGCATTTTGTGCTGTTTGCTTGTTCAAAATCACCGGATCCCCCCAGCGCTTTACCGCGTCATCGTGGCTAGGAACTGGTCCTGGATGTCGGGCTACGATGTACAGCGGGGGCTCATCCCCCGGCAAGATCTCCCAAGCTGTGAAGGTCCGTCGTTTCCATTAGGAAGCCCAGCTAAAAGTGAACCACTACCAGGATTGGCCACCGTCCTGGTATCCAACTGGTCGCATTTTGGCAGATCTCCCTCTGATCCACGAAGACTGCGACTGTCTGTGGTGGTGCCGACCTGGGGCAAACTTTAGTCAGGTTCACCTCGGGACTCCAGGAAGATAGTGGCTGAACCATCAAAACTCTGAACAATGGAAAATGTGCTGTGGTCCGCACAACCAATGAAGACGGACCATGCGGGTATTCAAGTCAGTATCCAATGACCAGATATTCTTCAAAGCGTATTTTACATACATTTGTTCTCAAATACTTATTCCTGAAGACATTTTGTTTTTTTTTCTATGAATGGCATTTATCAGCTTAATTCCCACGAAATTGGGATTTCTATGAACGTTCAAATAAAAAAAACCTGGAATGAAAGAAATAGGGGAAAAAGAAAGGGCGTTATTTTGATGGTTCAATTGCAGATGATGGTTCATAGTTCGATTGCACATGTAGCTCTGATTTTCTTTTTCTCTCAAGTTTTAGTGTGATTCACAAAATTTTCTTGATATTAATCTATCAGGAGTTTTTTTTAAATAAAGTTTATTGTGCTTAGTCTTAATTCAATGGAGTAAATAATGCTCTTCATGAGGCGTTTTCTAGAATATTTCATACTCCAGATGAAATCATCGTATTCGTCAAGGCAATCGCGTGCATTATCTGATACTTGCCCTCATTGTTGGCCTACTGGTGAACCGCATAGTCCTACTTTGTCTAGGGGACACTCGAGCAGTACCACTCCTACTCTTCAGGGTATGTTCGCGGTTGTTGTGCTTGCGTTGTGTCGACTGATTTTATGAACTAGCATGGTTTGCTTGGATTCCGATTTAATTTCTTCTCAGTCAGAATGGTTGTTGAACAACAAACAACTGACTTTTACTCGAGTGTGATTGGCCGTCGCCTCCAGGGCCAAACCCCCATAAGTGGCGACCAATCATGCGCGATCATCGTTAGTTGGTCATCTGTCCATGTGATGTTCACTCTTCGTTTGCTGTTATGATCATTAACTAGTAGCGTTTTTTGCATTTATTTGTATTTCACGTACAATGTTCTCAACTTCTAAAAATTACGCCGCGGAGACCACGTAGCCAGTTCGGCCGCGTCACCGCCTCTCTCAATATACGGTTGTTTCACTTTATTGCCGCGATGAAAAACATAATGTAGAGAAATTCAAGATGTTGTAAAATAATTTGAGTCGCGTTTTACGATTATCCCCATATGGGCTATGTAGATCGTCTTACTAGAATGTCGCATGCCGTGGCATGCCCCTCCACCGTACTCGCCGGCTTTTATTACTTGCTTGTTTTGTTTGCGTGTTCACTTCTTACTTGTTTTGCCTGGACGGTGTTAACCGGTCGTGCTCAGAATGAATCGCATGGATAAAAACTTTACATTTTTATGTTGTTGTAAAATTTGATAAACATTGTACAACTTATATCTTACAGGTTTCGCTAACGGATTTTGTTCACATGCTGTCATGTCCTCTTACAGGGTAATATTTTGATCAGTAACAACGAATCGATTGCGTTTAGAACTGATTATCAATTGTATTGATACTAGGGGATTTGGTGATCATGGAAGTATAATGATTAGAAATGCCGTGCAAGAATTCACTGGTGGTTGCGTACAGTCCGCTCCAGGCCACCCAAATCTCTCATCCCTCGGAGGTCGACTACTTCGTACAATACTTGTTTGATAAAGTATCCCTTCTACGCAAAAACACCGATGCTTTTCTCTACAGGGGTTGTCTAGTAAAGCTGTTATATAGCTATCCCATTATTCCAATGAGAATGAACTCCATCAGCATGCAGCGACGACATTCATAAAGAAGAGAAATGCTTAAGTGGCAGCCGAACCTACACGAAAACACGAGAACTTTCCCGTACGACGAATGCAGTAGCACAAACCGTTGGGAAAAAGTGCTAGAGTCCACACAATATGTGAAGTCAGGTCACATAAATAAATAAGTGGTTGTGAGAGCAACAGTAATGATAATGTTATTACATTTGTTAGTCATGTTCATAAGAGTGCGTGTATCGTAGTGGTCAGAGTGGTTTTACACGCGTTGTATGATCGATCCCTGCGCCTTAGGCCCAATAACCCCTCCATGCCTCCGGAATCTGCCAATTGGTACCAGACTTGTCTGGGAGGAAAGCAGCATTAGCTCTATGCCTCGGTAGGCCACCGCGAGTCATTGTAAAGGCTGGATATGCATTCAGTCACCTGCAATGATGCCTGTAGTCGAATGCATGGAGCATCGCTCAGGAATAGATCAACGCTGAGAGCTTTATCCTTTATTTTTTACCATTTATGTTCATAAGTCGCCAAGGCCTCAGTACGTTTTCTTTGAGTTTTTTTTCTTTCAATCGCCTTTGGTGCTAGTGGTCGTTATCAAGCGCAGTAATAGTAAGCACAACTACTAGTATATAGATGTACTTGTAACTCTAGTTGCAATATTATATATTGTAGTGGCAAAAATAATTATTGAATTGTCATACAAGATGTGTTTGCTCTGGTTAACCAAAGTGGTCTTGGATTATGACAGAAAAATGGGTCTGCTTGTATGGATGTACTTCAGCTTTCGAGTACCAATTCAAACAGTTCCTTGTACTAGTGATTCCAAAAATGTGGATTATGCATGTCAGGTGTTGGCAATAATCATCGTCATTAAAATCTAACTACTACCTTCATTACCATCTTGAACGGGTCTAACCCCTACGTATCCAGCAAAGACGAAATTTGATTGTAAATTACGAAAGTTTGGGGGAATAGGTGAATTTAAAGGATGAAGAAAAAGACCTGTGACGTTGATGAGTGCTTAGATTAAATAGTTTTTTGAGTAGTTGATGACCCTGTCCAGCTATGCATTCGAAATCATTTAAAAACTTTTTTTTATTTTACATAACCTGTCGTCACATCTACTGTGCGGGTCTCAGCATTTTTCGCATTCATTTCGCTATCCTCGTACTCATCGTCTACGATGATCTTCGGACATTTTGCGTATTGCTTCAGCTGCTGCTTAAGAATTTCACCTTCCCTATGAATGTCGTACAACATCGGTCGAGTAAAATCTGCTAGCAATCTTGAAGGTAGCCAGGCCATAGCGTTTCCACATAAGCTGGTCAAGAGCGATGGCGCGGCGATCGAACTGCCGTCTTTGCTTCCTGAATGACGGCATCACTAACACTGCTCTCTCACCGCCTCCATTTAAAATCTTTAAAGGTAACTGAATGCATATCTTTCCTGTACAGTGAGGCTTACCGATCTATCAAGTCACTGCAACTATCAAAGCCAGCCACTGGGAGAGATCGAATCAACGACCGCGTGTGTATTACATACCACGCTGCATCAAAACGTTTCCTAACATGTGAGCTTATGAAGGAAAAACGAAGGTAAACATTGTTTTGGAAAAGGGAGGCGAGACATCTATCAAGATAACACGATTTACATGTTGGAAAGGGAATCTAGCACTATGAATGAGAGTTTCATGAGAAAAAGTGTGCATACTTACGTATCTGAATAGTTGATGACCTTACCCTCCTTTGTATTCTTAATTAATCGCTAAAATTTCGACAATTTTACAACCTTTTGGTGAGAATCGTCTTCCATCTAGCTCTACACCGCAGTTTGGCGCTGTAGAAAACAACAATTCCACATTTTCTAAAGAGGGTGGAAGAGAAAATGGTAGACGAAAAACTGGTAGATATTCTATGAAGTGCTACGTTTTGTCTCATTGAAAAGATGACACCACTTAGTCACGAAACTCTATCTGGCCAACCTTTCGGTGCTTCCCGCTTTTTCAGACCCCATATATATGATTTGAGTCTATTGTCAATAACAATTCATTCTTGCAATGTGCGTCTTCATTGTCGCTTCGAGTCGACTGCAGTGGAGTGCCGCACCGCTCAAATAATGTACCCTTACTCGGCAACGTGCTTTCCTGTATAAAATGTATAAATTATTAATACAAGGGCTAAATGAAAGTTAGGATTTAAAACTATATGAAGACTGGTCAGTAAGACTATATAAAGACTAATGGACAAATGGCGCTGGTTGATAGAACTAACTGAGGAAGAGGCAAAACTAAGGACCCGCATGGTGTGGTGGTGAACGCGTTAGTTCCCGGAGAAAGTCATGGCGCTTTCGTTTCCCACCGCAGACACCTGCGGTCCGAAGTTTTGCAAATATCTCAGCATCATTGTGGTTATACGAAAACCATAATTATAACCAAGCCACTTTAACAAATTGCCATTATTTACAGTGCACCTAAAATGTGTAATGTTATTCAGTTATTCAGTTCTCAGGACTTTGCTAAGATTCCTTTAATAGAATCATTTCATAAGTGTGCGGCGAGCGTAACAAAAGCCACTAATCCTTAGAGAGAATGCATCTAGTAGTTAACGGTTCCTTGTAATACACTGTCGTTGACTCGATCATATGCTTCGTGCTATCCAAGCTCCCCATCTTTTTATCGTCGCCATGTCGGTATCAAAGTTGTCTGAGTAGATAAAAGCACTGACTTAGTAAATCGACAGAATCCTAAAATTTACTTTATACGCCAGGTACGATAATCTCTAATATGCTTAATGTAGTCGGATTCATGACGACCACTCAAGGATTTGTCAATCTCGTACGCTCTATCTGTTTATAAATCCATGTGCACCTGTATTTTCTTAAATATAGGTTAAACAAGTTTCCATAGAGAAAAACAGATAACACATTATGTTCCGCCTACCTTTTTATTAGTGACAAGGAAGGTGTAACCTAGTGGTTAGAGATGCACTCCATTAGAAAGCCAAGTGGTGGTTCAAACTCCTCTCCAACGCTCTCTTCCAATCATGGTGGGAACGCGTTAACTCACTACTTTAGTTCGGAATATCCGACGTATCGTAGGAAGGCCAGTGACCCTATAACAAAAGCACTTTATGATAAACCTTAGAAAAAAGGTATGGTGCTCAACGAGTCCTTAGGGCAAGCAGAACCCACTGGGCTACTTTTGCACGCGACAACGAGAACTGGAGGATTTACTGGCACCCACCCAATCCACTCGAACCACTTGACGATTACTGGCACAACAGGTGACAGGTGATGTGCTAAAAGTGAGTTTTGGCCAAATGTATAAA